CGTGGACCGCGCCGTGTCCCGCAGGAGGGGAAGGGACGGGGGTTCTGGCCCCGGTGCCCGCGCAGCCGAGTGCCGGGGCTCCCGGGCAGCGCTGCCTCCAGAAACGCCTCTGCTAAAGCAGACGTGAATTAGGAAGATAAATTTTTTTTAGTGAGTGGTGCAGTCTCGTATTCCCTTCCCACAAACAGCATCCTCAAGGAGTCTCACCTGCTCACATAATGCCTTTTTTTTTTTCCCACCGGCATAGCTATGCCTTAGCAGAGTTTTACTCGAGGCAGGTGGGCAGACATTCCCATGATTTAATTGCTTTTTTGTTTTCAAGAGAGAGCTGGAAATTGGGTGGGAAATAAGTTCGTTCCGCCATGATTTGACAAGCTATGTCTGAATGAGGCCAGGCTGGTGGGTCTGCAGGCCCCAGCCCCCGGGTGCAGCAGCGAGCAGTGGGGGGCTGCCCGGGGGTCCCGCAGCGCCGCCTCAGCCCCGAGGCAGGACACCCCGGCTCTGCGGGGGCGAAGGGGGCACGGTGGTGCTGGGTGACACCGTGACCCCGATGCCTGAACGTGGACGGGCTGCCGGGTGCCCCCTCAGTGCTCCTGTGTGTGAATCCCGCTGCTCTCCGCAGCCGTCAGGGACAACTGGGATGGACCCGAACTCCTCGTGTCTCTTCTTCATGTTGCAGAAGAGTAATAAGAAAAACCGTGTTTGCAGGCGCTGTTGCGCGTTGTGATGGGGTAGAAAAGGGCAGTCACTGCTCCCTGTCTGTGCTGGGCACCTTTGCAGCGGTACCGCTGCCCCCCCTCAGCCTCGCTGCCAGCCCGCTGCCATCCTGTGGCTCACTGGAGGAATAACAGCATCCTGCTTACGGCTGGTTTTGTGCAGGATGGGGTACTTATGCGTTACTTCTTGTGATTCATTTGTGCTGTATGTAAGGGACCCAGTTCTACTTTGGCTTGTGTTGCTTTTGTAGCATGGCCTTTTTTTCAGTAGTTTTCTTTCTTCCACCACTAAAGAGTTACTTTATCAAACTGACTTGTAAAGCAGAATATTAAGGCAAAGGCATTCATCTGGCACCAAACAAAACTGAAAAGAACAGAATATTCTGAATAAATCAGATGCACAAAAAGATTATAATGTTCAGTAGCCTACAATCCAATGTACAGGCTTCTTTTGTGGTGCATTCCTGCCTTTATGAAATGTCTCAATTACTTAGATCATTTATTTAATTCCTAATCTTTGAATAGGTTTAAAAAAATATTTGTGGTGACTTTAGATGAAGAAGAAAAGCAATAGTGTTTGAAAGATCTTCCTAAAGTTTCTGAAGACAAGGGCAGTTTCAAATGAGGTTAAGGCAGTAATTAGGGGTTATCTGTTTTCTGTGGAAGAATAAATTGAAGTATCAAGCGTGAGATGCTCAGAAAGGCTGGGATTCACATCAGCATTTGACAGCTTATGTCCCAGTGGAATCAGTGGGACTCTGGGCTTTAAAATGCCTTTGTAAATTGGAGTGAGAATGTCTGTTACTCTAAGGTGCTGAGCATCGGGCTTTTAATGGATTTAAATGGGCTCATCCACATCTTTAAACTGAGTAGTAGATTAGGAGTGGAGCTAGATTCAGAACCGAGGAATTCCTTGTGCCTGAGCTCAGCATCATGGGTCATTTTTTTCTGTCCTTGGGTAGTTTGCCTCTTGAGTACTCACAGGGACTTTGGTGGAAGGTACTTTATAAGTGCAGTCCTTCTTTCAGTGCATGTAAAGTGGCGTGTGCTGGCCTTTAGCTGGTCACTGTGTGTGTGTGAGGCACCCAGTGGCTGAACCAGCAAGGTGGGAGACCTGGTAAGACACCTATTAATTGCTACAGCTGAAGTTTGATGTACTTAGGGGTGCTATTGTGGTGTGTTGTTGTACACTGGCCCAGCTCAGTCACAAGATACAGAAATGCAAGGAGAGGGACTGTAGCCAACTGAGAATAGGTGTGGAAGAAGTAATATCTACATGAGTCTAGGCTGACCTGCCAGTGTTTTTCTCCAAAGATATTGTTCTTGATGATTAGGTTGTCTTGTTTAATTACGACTGATCAAGTATATAATGGGCTATGGTTCCAGGCTGCCTTTGAGAGAGACCAGCAGGTGAATGTGCTTCTGCTCAAGTGATTCTTTGATAGGGAATCTACTATTGGTAGTTCTCTCCAACAGTTCAGTCCTATGAAACTCAACTATGGGCATGCTTGTGGGGAAGAGATCACAAAAGGGGATATGTAACACAGGGAATGGTACCAGTATGTTTCAGACTGAATGGGTGGGATGTTGAATGCTGAAGGAAGACATTTCTTTAGTTGCATGGAGGCCAAGGCTTAGGAGTTTAGCACTGTGGATACTGTGTGAGAGCAGGTAGGGATGCTCAGTGATGTGAAGATTTTTGAAACATTACTTGTGCAGGTTCCCAAAATTTAAAGCCATGAGTCATATCCTCAGAATATTTTGGGATTGGTTCCAACACGTACAAAGTAGAAGCAATCATATTTCATTTTGATTGTTTGGCTCAACTCCAGCCTGCCATGTTATGCTCCAGACTCCATGGCTGGTCATCATTTGCTGCGTGACATTTCACAAGAGAAGTCAGTAAGATTTCGGGCCTTATCTGCATGAAGGGTCTACAACACCCTGCCTTTCCTCCTGCTCTTTATGCTGCTCTATCCCTACCACTCAATTTGACCTCATCTAATCTGAAAACTTCTCTCAGTTCATCCAGTGCAGTCCCAGTGTGCAGGCGAGGCTTGCAGTGGTGTAGGAGAGCGAGGTGGCTGGCCCCATCCCCCTGGATGGTTGGAGCTCTTGGGCAGGTAATTTCCTGGGAACTGCCCAACCCAACTGTGGGACAGGTGTGAAATAAGGAAGGTTGTACTGAGCTATGCAAAAAGTATCTTTTCTGGAGAAGACACATCACTGGCACCATTTTTGTAACCTTCCACATCCCTGTTTGTTACTCTTCCTCCAGTTATCCCCTGTGTTGTATCTCAGTGGAGTGTCTGGAGTGGCTGCGCGGAGCCGTGCAAGACAACGTACCGTGTTCGGAGGAGGCACGTCATCCAGGAGCCCAGGAACGGAGGAGAGGCGTGCCCTCCTCTGGAGGAGAGGGCTGGCTGCGTGGAGTACTGGACATGGCAAGGAACAGAGTGCAAACAGTCCCTGAGTAAGTCCACTGAAAATGTAAGTGTCTGGGTAATCGGGGGGAGGACTCTTGTTTGGGTCAGCAGAGCTGATCTTTCTTTACTGTATTTGAAAAGAGTTGTTTTCCAGACACCAGCATGTTTGCTCTAGGACTGTCTGGTGTAATTGAGAACTGAGCTCTTCACAGAGGGGCTTAGAGATATCCTGGTACAGTGTTTGAAAGCAGTGCCTGCCCTTCGCTGTGATCTGCTGTGTTCAGAAGGGAAACATGACAGGCCTGTTGTGACCTCATTTATATAAGTGTAAGTCTCTGGCAGTTTTGATAGATTTGGTAGATTTATGCCTCTTTAAAACTTCTGTAAGTGGGTTTTGAGCACTTTTTTCCCCCCTTTTTTGTATATGTATTTTTTTATTTGATGAGTCATCTGTAAAGTCATGAAGGAGCAATACTCATCAAAGGCAAGATAGAACTTCTCTGCACTGAAGCAGAGTGCAGATGCAAGAGACCTCCAGCTAGTTTCTGGAGAAAGAAGTCTGATTTCAGCTTGTTCAAATCAGCATTTCATGATATACATTTACTGATTTTTAGAAGAACTACTTGTAGTTTTTGCTGGTATTTTGGAGTCAAAATCTGTCCAGTTTGGATGCTGGCTACGACAGACTTCTTCAAACCCGTTGAGAGTTGGTATTAAGTGAATATTGCCTCCCTGCTCTGTCTTTTGGTTGTGTCTGATAAGTAGGCTTTGTCTGCTCAGGCAAAAATCTGGCAACGGTACAGATACTTTTTTCATTGAAATGTTGGTGGTCATGGATAATATGAAAATACAGAGTTAGAATTGGTTTTTGCTCCTGTTGAAGATAAAACTGTATGACATTAAAGGCCTATCTTTACTGTTTTACAGACATAAACAGCCTTAGTGCAGTATTGCCACTTATGCTATGTACTCTTTCTCTTTGATACACACAGTCCCAGCATTAATAACAACAGGAGGGTTTGGAAAAGCGAGGAAAAAAAGAGCCACGGCTGATGGCAATGAAAGAGCAGGGTAAGTAGGAGGCTTAGGACAGGGGCTCAGTCATACTCCACCTTCAAGGTCTCTCTGCAGTTTGAGGCCCAGATTTTTGCTGATCAGAATTGGTGTTTCCCAGCACTTCACTAGAGCAGGGTGCTGCTCTCCCCCCAGCGACAGCCGTATCTGCAGTGCATCTGCAGGTTGTGGGTTTGCCTTGATGTAAGGCCAGTACAAGACTGAAGTTCAGCTCTTACTTCATGGCATTGCTGCTGTTAAAGGTTGTATAATCAAAAAGCCAAAGGCCATTCACTTCGCTCTTTCCAGTGTGGAATCTGATGCACTTTTTTACATAAATGGGGTAAATTCTCAGGGGGCAGAGTTTGCTGTCATGTTGCATGGGAAGCACATCCCTCTCCCATTTCAGCCCCCCTTGGCTGTAACACTTCTTGTTTTCCCCTGAAGCACTGTTGCACAGCACAGGCAGGATTGTGCAGAAAGCTTTGATGCCTTTTGCCTTCTGAAGACACAGCCGTGTCTGCATGTGCTGCTCTGCCTCTGGGCTGGTGCCTTGTACACCAGGGAGCTTGGCATCAGCCTTCTCAGTCCTCTTTTCCAGCTGGGGTCATTGTTAGCAGCAACACGGTGCCGATGGGGAAGGTTATCTTCCACCTTGTAACTCTCGTATACAGTTTTGCAAGCTGGTTATTCCCCAGGGGTTCTTATTGTCTCTAGAGGTTTGCCTCTTTCTTATTGAGAGCTGCTGTTCCTGTAAATACTGTGTAGAGTTTCTCAGAGCTGCTCTTGCAGCATGAAGCAGCCATGCACTTGTTGATTTGTTTCCCCACAGGCTGTTGTACATGTATTTCCATAGTGCGTGGGTGCATCCATCCACCTCACTTAAGTGTCTGAAGGAAAGAGCATCTCTTCACCCTGAGCTTCCTTGGACTCCTCATTAGTTGAGCCTTCTCCCTGTAAAATTAAAAAATGTGAGCACAGCTGTATTGCACACGTATTTAACCTTGCTCTCTTTCCTTCAGATAAGACAAGGAAGCAAACTGCTCATGTAGTTCAGGGTGCTACTTGAAGGTGTTTGGAAATCTACATGACAACTGATAAAGAACCAGTCTAGACTAGAACCTAATTCTTTGCTGTGTTTGTAGATAATTACTGAACTTCCCCTCCAAACAAGGCCAGTTCTTTTGTGGTTTTCTCTCAGGTTTGGTTAAAATCAGAAGCACAGAAAAGTCTGACCAGGGCAGAAGTGCTGTGTCAATCTGGTAGTCCTCCCACTGAGATAGGACAACCTCATTCTGTTTTAGGAAGGAGATCATCCCAAGGAAAACCTTTACAGACTGAATCTTAGCTCCTGCTGCAAGTTGCTCTACAAAACCCATTATAAGTAACTGTGAGTAGAGGATAGAGAAACTGTGGTTCAGCAAATGGATACCAGACTTGGTATCCAAGGACCTGTTGGGTTTTTTTGGCTTTAGTCAAATGTTTGACCATTCTGTAGCTCTATTTGTAAGAAGACATGCCAGTAATACCCAATGCTTTTTGATATGCTTTTTGATATGTTAGTTGAAAACACCAGCAGAGTAGTTTTATTCCCCATTTAACCTCATCAAAATGCAGGTACACCAAATGTTCTGGATTTTATGACCTTGGATGTGTGTGGGGGTTTTGTTTCTTTGTTTGTTTTCTTAATTATGGTCACCCAGTTTAGTCTGGCTCTTCCAGTCCCATGGAAGGCTCTAATCTGGTTATTGAGCTAACCTACCCGATTATTTGGGTTGCAGGTACTGTGTTGAATTCCAGCTTGTGGCCATCATGCCAGGCTGCTTGCACAGCCACCACTCATACACTCACTGGATGCAGTATCTCAGGGAGGGCCACACCGTCTGTGTGGAGTGTCAGCACCCGGCTTTAGACTCCAGAAGTCTACATTGTTATGGGGATGGCAGTGGAAGCAAAAAGTAAGAGTTTTATCTTTTGATTTCATGTTGAATTATTCACTCTTCTCTGTTGATCTGCTTGTCCCAGTTTCATAGTGCGTTGCATGCAGCTCTCTGGAGCACTTTACATGTATTAATTAGTCTTTGTTGCATATCATGAGTTTTCTTGCAGAGGTTAAATGACCTGGTGAAGCTTACATATTAAACCAGTGTCAGAGCCAGGACTGAAGTGTGGGAGTACCTGTACTTAGTCTGCTAAATCTCATGGACGTTTTAAGTGGCACAGTTGTGAAATTTTTTTGTTTAAAAGACACTCCAGCCATGCTTCTAAGGTTAACAGTCTGTCAGATATCAAATAAAACCAAATCTGTTTCTGAGTTTTCAGCACTGGGGATTTTGTTTCTACAAGTGACCCTTTATGAATATTTCTGGCAAGTGGCGGCTGGTTTAGGGCCTTGGGGTATGTGCTGTCACCTGGGGTTGTGTGGAAGTAATGTTAAATCTTTGCATTTCCAGCATCCTTTTCCTGGAAAGCTGAAGAAGGTTTGGGGTGATTGATGGGGACCACCCAGGTTGTACAAATTGGGCAGACTTCAGCAAAGATGAAGGGAATAGCTTGAAGCTGTGAAACACATCTGTGGCAGAGCTAGCAACAGAGGAGTCCTGGCTTCCAGGCCTCTGCTGTGGTCTCTGGAGGCACAGGTTCTGCACTGCTTTTATCCTGATACTCTTAACCCCGTTGTTAGTTAATTAAAAGCATTCTCAGAAACTGGTTAGCAACCCTGCCTGAAAAAGTAATTGCCTGTCAGTGCTGGGCCAGGGGTATTTTTAAAACTTAGATGAATGTTAGAATAAGCTCATTTGAATTAGAAACTCTGAAGTAGGATTGTCAGGCCTCAAGCGCACAATGTATTGCACTACCAAGACTGCCACTAATGGCCTTTTTAGGCAGGGTTTTTCTCAGACTTCTAATAAGAGGAAGTCACATTAGAGTCTTTTCCTTCCCTGCCTCAGCTTGTTAGGTACAAAGGTTCCAAAAGCTTTCAGATAAAGAAGAAAAAGTCTTTGACTGTTATGGCCAGGAGTACCTCTTACCTGCATTCAACAGGTAAATCATTATGAAAGCTTACAATAATGTTATTTTACTAAAACCCTGCAGCCAGACAGGAACATCAGATTAAGTGAAATAAAAAAGTATATTCAGGAATTCATTTCCTCATTGGGCTGTGAACAGAGGGGGGCATTTTCATTTGCCTGGTCTGGTGAACAGTGCTGTACTTGGGATGGAAGCACAAAGAAAATGGGACTGTGTCCTTCAGGAATGATGATCTGATCATGAGGTGTTGGCAGGCTGACGGCTGGAGAGGGGCAGCGATAATGGACTTGGGGGCAGTGGTGACTTGTTCAGTCAAGTCAGGACTCAGCCCATGTCTCAGCAGATGGTTTAAATCTATCCTAATTGAGCAGAGCCTAGAAATTGTTCCCAGAGTCTTGCTGGAGGTCTGTTAGATGAACTAGTGGGTCTGTTCCATTATAGGCATGTGAGAGTCAACAGGGAAGCCAACTTCTAACACAGTGAGCTTTTACCCCTCCAGTGTTACTGCCTATCATGTCAAATGAAGTCATGTCTGTGGCATCTTCTAGGCAGGTATGAGCTCTCTATGCATGCTCCAAGCTGAGGTACTGTGTGTGTTCACTTGGGTTCATTGCCAAGGGAGTAACATAGGCTTGGAGGACAGGCCAGGCTGGCCTGAGCAGTGGACAAAGCTTTTGTCTACAAAAGGCAATGGAGATGCACTTTAAGCCTCCTTGAACCAGCAGTGCTGGGCAGCTTTGTCAGAGATGAATTTGTGCCTGGCTGGTGGAACATGAGTGATGGGCTGCAGCTTCCTCATCCTGTGTGTGTGTGATGTTTCATACAAATCTTCCAGATAACTCCCACGTATCCCCTAGATAGGTAACCTCCAGGGCATGGTCTGGCATTCTTTATCACTGTTTGACCTTACAGTGGTGGGTCAAGGAGATTGTTGTCTAGGGCTGGGTATCTTGCTTGATTTTCTTGATATCAACATCTCATGTGCAAGTATTTACTATAGGTATTCTTCGTATGAACAGAGCTATCCCCTAATTTGTTTCCAGAAATAATACATCTTTTTTAGCAGGTTGCATGGAGGTAAAAACTGTCTTCTGTGATCTCTGAACAGAAATTGGACTGTTGTTGGGGACAGCCATTGAGCAGGCTGAGGGAAATGTCTGTGAGAAGGATTCTGTGTTCTGTTAGGAGTGGCTGTATCTGGGTGTGCAGTCTTGCAAGGTAGTAGTGCTCTGAGGGGCCACATGGTGTGCTCCTCAGGCTGGCATTCGCTGGCCAAGCATGGAGGGCATAAATGTGATGCTTGTAAAGAAAGGGAGAAGAAGATGGGAAGAGGCACCTGTTGCCCTGAGAAAGAGGATGGTGGGAGGCCAAAGCTAATGCCAGTGCCTAGGATGCAGCCTGTGTCGGGTTTGCCTAGATCTGCTCACAAGTCTCTGGCTGTATACCCAGTTCACCCTCATTTTGAATTTTTGCTGGTGTAACTCTGCCAGGAGACGTGGTCAGTCTGTGGTGACAGGAGGGCGGTGGTTAGGCCGGGTGGGCTGTGCCGTGGTGCGGGGGCTGCGCGGGGAAGTGTGTGCTGCTGCGCCTGGGCCACCCCCGCCTGCTGCGCTGTGCTTCTTGCCCTGGCGCTTCGGCAGCGTGCGCCAGCGTTTAGTTCCCCAAGATATTGTTCCAAGAGTGACTCTCAGGAAGGAAAACATCTGACAGAGTTTAAAATAAACTCAGCAATGCTGGTATATTTTGATGAGTGTTTCCTAATTATCTTCTTGTGTCTAAGTGGAGTCTGGCTTATATATGCTTCAAGTTAGAGAGAGATGCTTGTTATCTGTGCCTTCCACCTGTCTCCCACAATGTAGAAGATGCTAGTTCATTTTAACCCCTGTTATGCAAGCTCTGGAGGTTTCCCAAAGTCCTTGATTTATGGCCAGATCAGTGCCCATCAGGGGAGGATAGCTAGGAAGGTTATGATACAAACATGGCAGAGCATCGAACTAGGAAATTGATCTGTTAATTTTGGATCATCTTCTGAAAGATCTACAAATAAAGCACAGACTTGACATCTGTGAAATTGTTACTCAGCCTGTGTCTAGGAGGATCAGCTGCTCTTCATCATCTGGAGCAAGATGAGGCAGTTGTAGCACATGAATGTCCAGACTGCAGCAGTTTATGCCCATGCTTATGGGGCAGAGGGAGAGAGAGAACAGATCGACTTGATTTATAGCAATATCGGTATTTGCCTTCCCCACCAGCAAGATGAGAGTAAGCAAGTTTAGCTTACGTGTTTAAGGAATAAAGCCTTTTAAAGGTAAAGGAGTTTTCAAGGGTATGGGACTCCTCTGTGTGCATCCTGCTTTATCTGAGATCTTAATCCTCCCTGTGCAGATTCTGGTATTTTGAAATGACCCCAAGTCAAAAGAAAAATACAGTGAGCCTTTTCCAACCATGTGTAATGCATAAAACCCAGCTCTGGAGCATGACATCTCATTAAACCAAGGTTTATCCTTGTGGAGATAGAACAATAATTCCAGTTTCCACAGAACTGTTAAACAAGCAGAAGTTAGGGGTCTTTTGGGCTATTATGTGGGCAGCTCTCTGCACAGGGCAAGAGTTAATCCAGTTGTGGTATTTGTGCTTCTCCACAGGTCAGGGCTGGGACACAATAATGTGAGGAATTCCCTTAAACCACTAAATGCTAAAATCTGGGAAGGGGCACAGCACTATAGCAAAACTTCAGTTTCTGTGGCTATTAGGCCAGCATTGCTTGGGCAGCCACTGATTGCAAAAAATGGCCTGTGGATCTGCTTGCTATATTAACAGGATATTTCTCTGTTCAGTTCTGGTCAATGTATTGATGGACTGCCTAGGAGAAAAGGGGTGGCTGAGTTGGTTGGTTGTTTTTTTGCCCTCTACTTAAGAGGTCTGTGAGTAACCTTGTCCCAGCGCTTGTGGGTCTGGTAGTTCCAGCCAGCTGCCATCCAGAAGCCGTTGTTAGTCTGTAGCTCTTAGCAAGGTGGAAAGTCTTGGGCAAGTGTTCCACTAACATGGTTATCCAGACGCTTGTGTCCCTGCACCTGCTCAGGCAGACGCGGGCTGTGAATTGTGTGATAGGTGCTTATTCAGCATCTTGATGGCTATGGGTGGCAACAGAGTTCTGCCTGCTGAGAGGGAGCATGGCGTTACAAAGAAAAATCGAGAAAGAGGTGTTTTGCCCACTTTACAACCTGTCAGGTGTTTCAATACAGGAGTTATGGGGATGTTGGTGTGCTTTGTGAGTTGTTGCATGCAATGCTGGGTACCTCGAGGGAATGTTTCTGTGAATCCTTTTGGACTTAACATCTACAGTATATGTTGCTCTGGGTTTTTCCAGCCCAGTATTCATGACTGATTTTGGCTTTATTTCACACTGTTATAATCCTATGGGGGGGTCACTGTGGTTGCTTCTTTACAGAGGAAAGGCAGTATTGGTTCCATGGAGGGAAAACGAAAATTAGCAAACTAAATGGGATTTACTGGGTGATTTAAGCCCTTGTTGTACAAGTGGCTGTCCTGCAGAGGAGGTGCAGCACATTAACTTTCTCCCTCTTATGATTGTGTTTCAGCAATCAGCTGTTGCACTGGCAGGCGGTAGGAAATCCTCGGTGCAAGGGAACCTGGAAGAGAATTCGCCAGCTGGACACTTGCTCCTGTCCTTCTGTTCACAGCTTCTTGTTCATCTAACCTGCTGACAGTCCCAGCAAGCGAGTGCTGTGTTGGCTTGTCTGGCACCAATGTGCAGCAGCAGTAGGAGCCACAACCATGACTTCTCTGTGTCAGAGGCCATGCCACTTACTTTCAAGAGATTGCTGTCCGTACTGAAGTATCCTGAATCCTCTCTGTCTCTGTCTACTCCTTGATTCCCAAAGAAATCAGGCTGGCTGTGAAGTGCCAATCTCTTTTCTGCCCATCCATCCCTGAGGAAGGCCTGTCTGACCCTGATGACTTCTTGAAAATTCCCCCTTTCTTGAGAGGAATGAGAATTCACCAAATAAGAAATTGGACAACAAAGGCCATAGGAACCCAGGTTTAATTATTATTTTCCTAAAGTCTCAATGATCAACAACACAAAATAATCTAACTCAAGTGCCTTCTTTTCATTGCAGTGGCACTTCTTTGTGGATGCTTTCTGCTTGTGCTTATATATATCTTTTCCCTTTGTTTTCACCCTCCCTGGTCTCGTCATTTCATATTGATCCTCAGTCTTACAGACTCAATCTCGTGCTGCTGAGATAATGGCAAAACTTAGAAATGAGCCTGTTCAAATCTGTGAGAATAGAAGGTACCAGGGATAAATGGGCCCCTGGACTTCAGGTTTCAAGGAGCATCTCCGAGTTGCCCCAGAACACAGTGGAGTACTGGGGCTCTAAATAGAAAGTCATCCCAGCTGTACCAGGAGGACTAGTTATAGCCTTGTGTTTTCGACTGGAAAATATTTGAAATATTTTCTTTATATCTGCTGATTTATATTCATACTTTTCAATAAATGAAAATAAAGGACATAGAGACATTCTCCTAGTGTGTATCTATTCGATTAATCTGTGTGTGCCATCTTTTTAGCGCCTGAACCTGCTTAATTTGTTCCAGCCAATCTTGCTGCTGACTCTTCTGCTTCAGCAGGGAAGACTGGTGGAAAAGTTGCTGCTGTCCAGTTCCAGAACTACTCGGGATTTACAGGTGAAAGTCCAGCTACCACAATGCAGAAGTGGATGTGATATTTCTTATAATATACACATACTTCTGAATCTGCTTAAACAAAATTACAGAATGGACTTGTGCTTCATGGCAGAGCACTGCAGTGGTAAACATCTAGGTAACTAAATTTGTCCAAACTCAGGTGAGTGCTTGCAGGTGACTCCAGAAGAGAATTTTAATACTCAAGTCTGACTAGTCTAGATTTGGATCATGAAACCTATCTAGTGACCATGTTGAGAGTCTTTCACGGAAACGTTAAAGGGCACTGTGTACACGTGCTTGAGAAGCTTAGAGGTGGGTGCAGTACGGCCATGAGAGGTCTGAAAGCATCTGATGCCTCTTGGCCAGTACAGTAGGGATTTGAAAGCAAGGCTCTGCTTTTCATTGTATATTACAAGCTGTCTCTGTGGATTTATGACTCACAGTGGGGTGATCTCATCCCAGAGTAGCAAGATTTTAAGAATAAAAAGGCTTGTGCTTCGCTGCCTGACATAATCTCTAACTAACTTGTGGCCTGCTCAGGAGGACTTGCTAGTTTGTAAGCAGAGGGATGCAATCTTCAGAGAGATGGCTTGGGAGTAAATAAGTACATACTTTTGGAATTTGCAGTTGAGGAATCTTTATCAGGCTGGAAGCCAGTTTCATTTTCTTGGTGGAGATAGGTAATCATAGTGGTATTTAGTCACTGGAAGGTTTCCTTTGTCCTGCAGAATCCCCGTATTGGGCCACAGGACTGTAAAGAGGTGACTGGTTATTTCAGGAGCAGAATGGAGCCAGCTATTGGAAACATCTTTCATTTTCAAAAATCTACCCAAACTTTGACAGCATGAAACCCTGCTCTTACCAGATGCTTTCAGACTTGAGTACTGAATCTATAAATGGTGCTGGTTTTGCTTAATAATGCTTAAAAAGCTGAGTCTTCAACAAGTTGCATTCATCCCAGTGCCCTGTGATGTCAGAGCCAGTTGAGTAGGAAAAGGCTGTATTTCAAAGTTGTCAAGTGGGAAAAGCTTCTATTGCAATCAATGAAACAATGTAGTACCTTAAAGCACCTTAGTTGCGATCCCTTTAATTTACTGAATACTTAAGTGTTAGCTGTACCATATTTGTGTGTAAGACTTCTATTAAATTGTCATAGTACTTGCTGTCAAATATTTAGTCCTGACGTTAATCTGTTTGGTTCTGAACTTTTCAGGATAGAAGACTACCTTCCTGTTTCAGTGTCTTGAGAATAAGTGAGCCTTAAGAGAAGTTACTTTGATAGTAGTTTGTCTTATTCTGGTGGAAACTGGCCAGTTTTTATATAAATTTGACGTGCAGGAAGTTTGCAGAATTGGTCTCTTAAGTGAGTGAAGGTCGCTGTGGAGGTCGCTGTGTAGAGTGGACAAGTTTGAGAATAGGCTGCTCAGAAATAGTATCCTGGGTCAGATCACTACAGAGTCTGGGCTTGATTATATTTTTTGGAGGCTCACAGTAAGTTTGTTAAATGCATTTCAGGTTGACCAAAACTGCTTGTGAATTCATGCCACATTTGATGGTTAGTCTCATAGAAAGCAGGGGATTTAGAAGTGGTGAAATGATTTTATACTTCCTAAATGAAGTGTTTTGATCTTTGATTTTGGAATTTTATTTCAAGATTGAAGCAATCTTGAGTCAAACAAAATATTTTATTCAAACCCCTCCTTGTTTTCAAGTTTCTGTTTTGAAGAAAATATTGGAGAAAAAACCCCCTCATTTTGAATTGAGCAAAATGATTTCTTTATCAGTAATGTTCTCTTTTGGTTCATGCTTGTGAGACAACCGTGAAACTACATCTGTCTGTTCCTATGGCCAGTGACTTGTTGGTCAGGGTTTTCTTTGCTACCACCTCATCCCTGAGAGCTGATGAGGTCTTAACGAGCTGCTGATGGTGGCATGGTAAGACTTCCAGTCTTTTGCTTCTGTGCTGTAGCCTGGGCATGCAGGTGTATGAAAGAATTAGCCCCTGAGGGACCCTCATAGCAGCTGTATTTCTACACAGACTGTGTCACTTGATGAAACAAAACATTGCAAATGTCTCTGTGCATAGGCACATCCCAAAAAGGGCCATGCAGTGTGCTGGCTTCACCTCCACACCTTGGGTGACCATACATCCCAATCCCATTGGTAAATTCCTGGGGGTAGGACGGAGAGATGCAATTGTGTGTGTGAGAGAGAGACAGAGCAAGAGTGAGCCTTTTAAGTAGAAGAAGATAACGAATCTGTCAGGTCACTTTTCCTGCAAATGAAGATTAGCTCATGGTGTAGACACATAGTGGGTCCTGCCTGTTTCCTTCTAGGGGCTTTATCACTGTCCATCATAATCTCCATCATATCTACTGCCTGAGTTTTGGGAAGGCTAAGACTTGGAAATCCAAGGCAAAATATTCCTCAAAAATGACTTTGTACAATAAACAAGCAAGGCAGTCTCACACTGAGGAGAGGAACTTCACCGAAGATGACAGCTGTTCCCATGACAACGCTAAAAACCTTTCACCATTGGGTGTCAACAGGAGAACATCTCCCACGGCAAGTACATGAAACCAGGAGCTTAGTCCTCATCTTCCATAAATCATCCTGTTGGGGACTGATAACGAGGAACTGCCAGCTGTGCACACGCAGCTCCACCTTCTAGGCACCAGCCTGGCTCCAGATGAAAGGACCGGCAAATAAAGCCAAAGCACCAGTGAGCTGGATTTATGTAAAAGGAAAATTAAGCTCGACTGATGTTCCTACACTTCCCTCTGCTCTCCGGCTGAGGATCTCAATTTTTAATGATGAAAAGCCAAGCAAAAAATCCAGGCCATTTTACAAATTGCTGAAGAAGCCATGTGATTTTCTCTGTTGTAGAGAAAACTGTCATCGTCATGGGATGGAGAGAGAGGGAGGCCCTGGGAGAATTCTGCTTTTCCTCACTCTAACCCTGTAGTGTCCAGCTTGTAATTCAACAGTTTTCTTCTGGATTTGAAACAGAAAGTGATAAAAGACCATTTTTTACCATGGGATCTTCATTAGGTCTGTCAGCTCCCTGAGTGTCATGAGATGTGGGATTGCAGTCATCTGAGTTGAATGAGGATCTACTTCCTTTCTTAAGGAGAAAGGCCTTGTGCATTTGGAAAAAAAGAGATAAAATATGCCCAGAAAGCTCAGGAGCCAAAGGTAAAGAAAAAGAAAAACAAAAAATGGAATTTTTTAATAGCCTTGTTGCTCTAAGGACAAACTATTCTTTTCTTTTGCTCAGTAGCCAGAGGAGTTGAGCACATTCTGCCTGAATGGTAGGAGTTAGCAGTGCTTCTCCATAGATAAGACTATTCTGTTATCTTTAGTTTTCCAAACCTTTTTTTTTTATCCTTCATTTTGAGTATTTTGAGACTTTAAATATTAAGATCACTAAATCTCTTTTCTTTCTTTTCTATTTTTTAAAATATTTTTTGTGAGGAAGTTTTTTTTTAAGTCCTTTCCAGTTATAACGTTAGTTGCTTGGTGATAGTCATGATACTGCAAGTGGAGGAGTAGAGGTGAGAAAGGAGAATCTGAACCAGCAGAGATTTTTCTGTTCTGTAAATATGTCTCCTGCATCTTAAAACTACAAACCCAAATATTAGCAAGATACCTTTTTTTTTTTTTTTTCCCCCCTTTTTTGAAAACTTTGGTTCTGCCATTCTCAAACTGGGTGAAATACAATCCCTTATAATGTTCTATGTATTCTGCAAATCACCACCTTTTTAAATCCACAGGGATATGCAGGGTCTCTAGGCTGTGGGCCTGTGGTACCCCCAGTTGCTCTTGTCCTGTGACACATGTTCACAACTTGCTGTGACACTGGTGGGACCTAGACACGTATTCAGGACATGATGTGCTTGGCTGCATCTCAAACATGTTAAACTGATACTGGCCAGGGAGAAAAGTGGAACCATGGTGCAGTTTGTCTGTGTCTGCTGACAAATATCATGATATTACGCTTTTTTTGTGAGTTCAGGCACAGTGTATGATCCCATGCTCTCCCAAAGCCACGAATCCCACACCCTGGTCCATGCTGGAAAGGAGGTGCAAGGTTTCTTTTTATCATCAGTCAGGGTCAAAGAGCTGATCCCGTGCCAAGATCTGTGCAGAGGTCAGCATCACTGTTTCTGTACATTGTTTTTTTGCTGTTAGTTGCTGTGCTCAGTGTTTGGCTTACTTGAGCTTTGTTGCGGCCTTCCCTTACCACTAATTGTGTGCTTTTGAATTACTGGAAGGGTGTTGTAGGGTGATGCCAGCGCTAATGGGCTTTCACCTTTCTCCACGTCCATAACAATCCTCAGACCAATTGACCAATCTTTTATTTCTTGCATCATATTTCAGCTGTTAACAGGTGGAGCAGAAGCTGTCAGAAAAATGGCAGTTCTCAGCTCATTCTGCTGGTGGTCAAAGCCAATGCTGCTCTGGCTTGCCTAATCCTGTGCCTTTCTGCTCACCCACAAGCTAAGGCTGATCTGTGAACACTCGGAGCTCCTGTTTTCAAGCACAAAGACATCTTCCTTTTGCAAGTGTGAGTGTGTCTCTATCTGTGGTGGGCTCCCCTGAAGCAGCACCCATGACCCAATTCAGCATCCTGATTGCTGGTACAAATGGTGGGATGTAGGAGAGCAGCTGCAGCAAATAGTCATTAATTGTGTTAGAAGGATAACTAGCTGGAGAAACTGTCTCTCTGACATGACAGCAGGATGCTGTTGGTTTTTCTCTCTCTGTTTTAGCTCTGGCTGGCAGCTGGATGCAATATGGAAGCAGATCCCTGAAATGCTTTAACAAAGAGGGTGG